AAATCTAACGATGGTTATATAATAGCAGCTGCATTCTGGCGCGATAAGCTGTATGTTTTATATTCAATTAACGTATGATCCGATTAGTCGACTGAAAAAATAATCGGTGATTAATCGATTATAAAAATAATCGTTTGTGGCAGCCCTGTTCTATTCTATTCTATTCTATTCTATTCTATTCTATTCTATTCTATTCTATTCTATTCTATTCTATTCTATTCTATTCACCCTCAGTAGGAAAGGAAGAGAGAGTGAACTGCATGTGTACCCAAAAAGAGAGCAACTCATTGCAGTTTAAAAGCTACAGTTGTTTGTTCGAATTGCTCAACTGTGAAGTAAAATGTCAGTCAAGAAAAGTCTAGTTGCTTTTATTTGAACTTTCTAGGATTCCCGTTCCCTGTACGATTGAAAACATTCAACATATCCTGTTTTTATTTATATGTGATGTAGTCAGTCCAGTCTCTTTAAAAAAGCATGCAGTGTTTACAGTCTTTTAACCAAATCTATTTGTTTTTAAATGTTTGCTGACAGGATGAAAGTCGTCACTATAGAGCTGTTGAAGACACGTTTTATCCTTCTTTGACTGAAACTGTTTGTGTAAAAAGTGACATGATCAGAATAACTACAAATTAGTTTAAAAATACATGCCAGAATGTGCCATACAGGGTATTAATGAAGAAGCACTTGTCTGTCAAAAGCAGATCGTTCACCAGCCTGGAGGACTGAGATGAGCATCATGTGGCCTTCTGAGTCATCAGCATAAAGACAGCATGCTGCAAAGGTGCAGCTGTTGTCCTCTCAAGCATTTCTATAATAATAATAACAACCACAATTCAACATTTCTGTAATCAAAAACACATTTTCCACGATGTCACTCACATGATAGTAATTTTCAATATCCCCGATTTCCTTTCTGATACTGATACCAGCTAAAACTCCTGCTGCAATCAGCGATACTGATTTGATACTGATAATTTATGCAAAGACACCCAATGTTTCTTTTTAATTAAAAAAAGGTAGGTGTATTTCCAAACACAGATTCATAAAGCATACAAGACATCAGAGAAATTTACTTTTTCATTTTAAACTCAGAAGTGAATTGATGTAGCATTTTCTACTGATGAGCTAATACCACAAAAAATAAACAAAACGATGACACAATGTGTGAAAGTGTTTTAAACGATACAAAAATAAATAAAACCATTAATATACGTTAGTGTTTAGTTATCAAGAGCTACTATAAAATGAAAACTTGCATCTTAATTTATGTTGCATGAATATTAACATCTATAGACTGAATGCTGCTGCGTTTATGCATCATTCAGGCGGAAGAAAAAGTAGTTCCCACCTACAGTGCATGATTTTGACAAGATTTCAATAGTTTAGTAACTTTTCTCTGCATTCCTGTTAATAATATATTTTACCTGATACAACCAGAGGATCAAAGTACCCATATTTTAATCTTTGTATCGTTTCTAGAGCATAAAGTTCTGGTTTTGGTGGTGTCGACATCTTTCGCATGATTTAATTTACGGTTTACAGGCTGCTGCTTTGATAATTCACCAACATGTATGTGTCCTCTAAAGGTAAAAAGGTGCTGCTCTTCCCAGCAGCAGATTATATAAAGCCATCTACTGCCTTCTTCAAAGCTGATTAAATGAAACCATCTTAGACAAGTTCATCTGACAGGATAGAAACTCTATCCAAGTCCAATGTTGTAGAAAATGAAGCTTTTAACAACACTTTCTATTATATTTCAGTATTTATTTAAAGTACGGTGAAAATGACTTGAAATACTTTGATGATTATTATGCTGAAAATACAAAATATATAAAAATATGTACAGTGTGTTGCACTTTGTAGTATATAATTTAGCTTTTCAGTAGTGAGCACGCATACACGTTACAGTTTGTATAATTCATTATTTCATAAAAAGATAATCACTGTGACTAGCCATTAATTCATCAATACAGTCAGAATTACACTTTATTTCTCAAAACTGGTCACTCTAAAGGCTATTTACAACACGTATGTCAATTATTGTCTTTTTACTGAGCCCCACTTCAAAAGGCTAAACTACACATGACTTGATTCCAGACAGAAACTGGACCACGGTGATTCATTTTGTAATATAGTACACTTTGTCTACAATGAAGAGTTAGTAGCTAATAAAATAACTTGAATAATTCACGAGTCTTACAGTAATAATAAAATTAAAAACACACAAAAAAAAGCACTATCTTAGCACTGAAGTTATTAGCATTGTAAAAAAAAAAGCACATAAAGAACGTTTCCACTGATAAAATTAAATATTTACGTGGCAGAATTTGAGTAGGATTTATGCATCTTTCTGTTTGTGTGTGTGCAGAGAAGGACGATTCACAGCCTCACTCTTCAGGTTAGCTTTAAGGAGCTCTGGTCTCCCTGCTGTGTTCGTCTGTAATTTGATTAAAATGGCAGATCTGGGCCTTGCACAGGTCTCTGTGTTTGGTCTGGTTTTGCTGTCTTTCTGTGGACCAGTGCAAGTTTTAACTGAAGCCGTTCTCCCTCACTAACATGAGTGAAAGAGCTGTGAAGGTTATCACTTTAGAGATCGTGTTAAGGTTAGAATGAGGAACTAAGGGTTTAAAACTCTGTCAAAGGTTCAGTGACGATGTAAAACATAAAGCAGATGAATTTTATGTAGGATAACAAATTTAAAAGATATAAAAAAGAATATATTTTTAAAAGAACCAAATATAACAATATATAGTCAAAATAAATGACTAATTTAGTGTTTTTATTGCTTCAAAATAATAAAGATCAGACTTCTGTTTAAAGGCTCAGTTAATTTTCTGTGCAAAAAGCAAATTGAGATTAACCAAATAAAGATTGATTGATCAGGGTTGATAAAATGTATATAGCTTAAATATTCTGATGGCATTTGAATAGCTCCATCCTCCCACGTTGTGCTAACATAATTATCTTGCTCCATGTTGCTTAATTCAGCAGAGTTTTTAAACTAAACTCTCAAATTCCTAGTTAGTTTTAAAATTATGTTAGACTTGATTCTTTCTTATTAATTTGTGTAGCCTTTTGAAAAAGTATCACACTCTAATTTTTCTTTGTAAAAATCAGGAAACATTTTAGTCTTAACCAAACTTCTAGTTTAAGTATTTTTTATTAATGCCTGTGGCCGGTGTTAGCAAGTTAACATCTTGACATTAGCTTAATTTAAAACATCTATCTTTCTTGCTTGCTTGGTGTCAGTGACACTTTTCTCTTCAAAATGGTATTTTAACTGTTAACTTTGTAGCCTGTACACCACAGGAGTATAAATTTGGGAAAAGCAAACCCTGCTAAAAACTATTGTTTTAATTTCTCTGAGAGACTCTAAAGGATTTTGTACACCTACTGTTGTGTGATTATTTTTCACTCAAACCCTTATTCTTACTCAGTATTAGATTTTTTTTATGAAACTTTTCTTTTGCCTCAGAAGTCAGACCTGTGGATGGACGCTGCACTCGACCTAATGGTGTCCTTCCAGGTTGAAAACCCAGCAGTATTTACTATTCATGCCCATCATCCAGACTAACTTTTGTTAGCAATGCAAGGCAATGTCCTGTATTTCTCTGCATTCTGTGCATTCAAAGCTAAAGTAGCATGTCTCCTAATGTTGTTGGAATACTAACATGGGACAGGGATCAAACAGGAAAGAAAACAAAAGCTTTATTACTGAAGCTAACACAGCTTTTGATGCACAGAACGGCCATATTGGATCTTAACGTCAAGGTTGGTCAGGAATTCTTGACTTTTTGGGCCTTTATTTTGACACTTATAGTGAGTTTCAGTTAGTTTTTTTATTCTTACTGATGTCAGAGCTCCATCCCAGAATAAAATGCGTATCAAGCAAACCAGAATTAGCTGTTTTGACATTAAAAACTGACTGTACAGAACACACTTCAAACACGCACCTCCCATCTAGACTAGATTTGGGTGGGAACAGCAGGACTCAGGAAAATAACTGATTGAACGCCCTGCCAGATGAAACAATAAGATGTGCTTGAACAGACAAGAAACCACCCATGGCGGAGGTTTTTAGACACTGTCTTCGGTGAGTCGCAGCAAACATCGGAGGACATCGACCCACCAGTGCTCACATCTGTTGTTGTGGTTTGTCCTTGAGAGGGGAATGTAATCTTTGCTGAAGTGTGCAGTTTGTTCAGAACACAACCACTATGTAACTTGGAAAGTGTGACTAGAAAAAAAAAGGTTTCTTTGGGTTTTGGGTTTTGTGACGCTCGGTGTGGAGGATGTCTGTGGTCGTGTTTGAAACTCACAGATAGTGTCTTTGTGTGAAAGGAAACCGTGCTACATGTATTTCTCATGTGACCTTTTATGTAACAGGAAAATTAAAGGCAATCCACCAGACATTTCTTCTAAACAAAACATTTTAGTTTCTTTCATGCCAAAAAACCTGGCAGTGTTTCTGCTCACCCGTACCCTAACTGTGTCCAGGGATGTGCCCCTCTGTATTTTACTGCTGCACACTATCACAGCCTGTCTCGATGTTTGTAATTCACTCTGAAGCCATAATTCTAGAGTGTGATGAGCCATGACTTTGTAATGACGCCCTAAAAGAATTTCACTGTAATTTAAATAATTTCAGCCTTCAGTGTCTTTTCTGGTTTCCAGAATGGTTTTATTGCACCACGCAGACACCATGGGGGGGACATTGGGTAGATATTAACATGCAGCAGATGTCGGCATATTAAGTACCGTGTGGTTCTTCGATAAAGAAGCTAGCATGTATTCGTGTTTTCCAAAATGTCAACCCAAGGGAGATATGTGAAATTAAAGATTAGAAGACGATGGTGACTCCTGTTCAAGTTTGTGGGGGGTTGGGGTGTCACCATGTGCTGTGGTGCTTTAAGGAACTGAAATCTGATATCTGATGCAACAGTTTCATTTCCTTGCGTGTGCTTCGTCTGATTCGGCGTCCGTGTTGTTTTGACTGGCAGGAGCGTACCTGGTGCCCTATCTGATCCTGCTCGTATTGATTGGCATCCCGCTGTTCTTCCTGGAGCTTGCAGTGGGTCAGCGTATCCGCAGGGGCAGCATCGGGGTGTGGAACTACATAAGCCCTCGGCTGGGGGGCATCGGCTTTGCAAGTTGTGTGGTGAGTCTGATGCTGAAGTCTCGTTTTTTTTTTTCCCGTCTTCAAAAAGTGAAACTGGACCAAAAACCAAATGATGCAATTTTGTGTCAGTTTCACTGATGCAATGTAATTATTGCATCAGCGTGATTACTCATCATGCTGATGCAATAGTCAATAAAGAAAAAGTTATTCCACTTAAATAAGTATGATGTGTTTACAGAACACCAAGTTCCAACATTCAGCTTCAAGATAATCTTTTGTCAGTTAATGTTAAAAAAACTGTGTGCATGTATTTTTCCTCACCCAGGAGACATTTCAATATAACAAATCAACTCACTTTTTTAAACAAACCCCTTGATATTGTCACGACCTACAAATATCTTGGAATTACTTTGGATAATTTGCCTTATCGTGATCATGTTCAAGTCAACCACTAAGTTGAAACAGAAATTATACGTTTATTCAAAAATTAGATCCAATCTGACATCTTCTGTTTCAAATATCTATCTTCATGCCATTATACTCTCAACCATGTTGTACTGTTTACCTTTTTGGTCTCTTACAACAAATGAAATCTTAGAACCCATAGTTAGGCTCTACAACAGGGCCTACAAAATTCATAAAAAACTTCCTGGTTGGACTCATCACTGTACATTATCTGATGTCTTGACTTTTCAGAGTTATGTTTTGTAT